TGGACCTCTCAGCGGCTTTCGATACCATTGACCATGGTATTCTTCTGGATAGGCTAGCGGGATTGGGAGTTGGAGGCACTGCTTTGCAGTGGTTCTGCTCCTATCTCAATGGCTGATTTCAGAAGGTGGTGCTGGGGGACTATGGCTCTGTGCCATGGCAGTTATGCCATGGAGTTCCGCAGGGCTCCATCTTGTCCCCCACACTATTTAACATCTACATGAAACGGCTGGGAGAGGTCATCAGGAGGTGTGGGCTGCGGAGTCATCAGCACGCTGATGATACCCAGCTCTACCTCTCGTTCTCCACCAATCCAGGTGAGGCAGTGGCTGTACTGAACCGGTGCCTGGCTGAGGTAATGGGCTATATGAGGGCCAATAAACTGAAGCTCAGTCCAGACAAGATGGAGGTCCTGTTGGTGGGTGGTTCGGGCTTCGGGGTGGGGGACTTGGGCCTTGTCCTAAATGGGGTTGCACTCCCTCTGAGGGACAAGGTTCGCAGTTTGGGAGTGCTCCTCGACCCTGAGCTGTTGCTAGAAGCTCAGGTGACGGTGGTGGCGAGGAGCGCCTTCCTTCAGCTTCGGCTGATCCATCAGCTGCGTCCCTACCTGGAGAACGACTGCCTGGTGACAGTGACACATGCATTGGTTACTTCCCGGTTGGATTTCTGTAACATGCTCTACGTGGGCTGCCCTTGAAGATGGTCTGGATACTTCAATTGGTGCAAAATAGAGCTGCCAGGTTGCTGACGGGGACTGGGCATTGTTCTCATATAACCCCAGTTCTCCGTCAGCTTCACTGGCTCCCCATTGAAGTCCGGGCCCAATTCAAGGACCTGGTTATCTAAAGGAACGTCTGTGTCCATATATGCCCGCCCGCCCCCTACAATCGGCAGCAGAGGCCCTTCTCCAGGAACCCTCCGTGAAGGATATTAGGAGGGTGAGTACCCGGAGGAGGGCCTTTTCTGCGGTGGCACCCCATCTGTGGAATGCGCTCCCCAGAGAGGTCCGCCTGGCGCCGTCATTATTTGCTTTTCGGCATCAGGCGAAGACCTTTTTATTTAAAAGTTATTTTAACTGTTTATTATTGTTGTATTTATAGATGTTAATATATATAGCCAAGATGGTACCAGTTTTTAAATTATCGATTGTATTTTTATGTTTATTTTGGATGTTGTGAGCCGCCCCGAGGCTTTGTCGCAATGGGGGCGGCATAGAAATGTTTTAAATAAATAAATAAAATGATGACAGATAAGGATCAGCAGGTGATGCCCCTTTTTCCTTTTGGGGGAGTGGGACCTCTTCCCCCTCCCAGGTTTCTCTCTCTGAAGTACAAGCTGCTCCCAGTGCAATATATGCAGGAAGTGACCTTTTGCCTCTCCCGTTGCAGATGTCAACAGCTGGCTGCTCACCTTTGGCTTTCAGCTGCACAATGTCATCCCCGGGTACCCCAAGCCTGACATGGACACAATGGAACCCTCCTACGAACTCGTCCACACCCAGCTCAAAACCCAGGAGTGGGACAACAGCAAGGTAGGAGCTACTGTCCCACCAGCACCCTCTCCCCCTCAGCGGGAAGTTACAAGGGACTCTGCGGAAGGCACCTCCTGCTCATAACCTTCCAATTTCTTTCCATGGCTGCTTCGGTCTGTTTCTGTCTTTTACAGGATGGGACGGTTGTACCATGTCTTCTAATGGCTAGTGCTAGAACCCTCTGCCCAAAATGTGGATGGAAACTTTACCTCCCTGACTTCGGTAGACTAGGAGGCCATCTGCTGGGGTCCTCAGTAAATGATCCTACAGACATTTTTCTTTTCAGGGGGTGGGATCCCAGCACCTGGGAAGTGTTGGCTTCCCCAGAACGAGTCCGAATAAATGCCAAGCACCCAGGGAGCAGCACTGCTCTTCTGTAGACATGAAAACGGATGAGGCACAGTCATGGCTTTGCCCTCCACCTTTTTAGGGGCCCGAGAGGCTGCAGTCTATCTAGTTGGAAGAAAGAGCATCCCCGTGCTATTACGACAGCATCTTCAACAGCATCATCTCTGAAACGCTCTCTCCAGCCTGGTTTGCAAAGTTTTCCATCCATAAGGAGCAACGGCAAGGTTTCCTGTCAGCTCCTTAAGAGCAAAGTGTCAGGGTGTCCAGAGCCGGTTCTGCTCCACAGAGCTTTTGTGCGCTGTGGAGTCCAGTCGTTCCATTCTGCCCCAACTCCAGAATGGAGCGTGGGAGCCAGAGTGGCTTCTGCAATTCACCCCTCAGTGAGGGCCTGGCCTCTTTGCTGATTCCTTCCTAGGTGCTCCTTCCTGAAATTTGGAGTACAGCTGCAGTTAGGTTTAAAAACAAGCCGGCTTCCCGCTTGCTGGGTCAGGGACGTTGGACATGGGGTAGAGGGTAGGCAGGGCCTCTTCCCTTTCACATCTCAGATGGGAACTATGGGAGTCTTTCTTACTTACCCTTCACTGGATCAGGCCCCTTCTCATATGATAGGATAGTCCTGGCATTTGGTGCACAAAGGTTAATTTCCCTTTCCGCCGAGCTGACTATCTCCGAGTCTAGGACTCAGCTGGGATTCCGATTCAAATCTCAGACTCAAATCTTCTGTCGATAATACTTCTGATTTTCTACCATTCTGCTCTATCTCAACCTTTTGCTGAAACTTGGGCTTTATCAGTGGCCCCCCATCTTCACTCAAATCGCATTTTCTATTTCTCTTCTTCCCTAGTTCATCTAGGGAGGAAAATATATAATGGAAGATGAAACGGAATGGATAGCAAATTTCAAAGGCGGAATACTCCGTCTCTTTGAACTCTGCATAATCTGTTTTTGTCCCTTCCTTTTATTTTCCTAGCCGCAGAACCCACAAGTTGTTTTTCTTCCCCAGAAGAAAGCATTCTTCCTACATGCATTACTTTATTATTAAAAGGGTGTATTCAAGGTCGTTAGATCTTAAAATTAAGCAGCTTTTCAAAGGCACAGGACTTACTTTGAGATAACAGAGAAGTTTTTTAATTATGATTATGCTGGTGCTCGTGATAACATTCTGCAGGAGAAGCTCTCGGCAAAGGGGACGGGAACACGCCAGAGTGTCACACTTTGAGGCCTGGAGAGAACGCGGCCGTCGCCTGCTGTTCATTCAGGGCCAAACTGGACAAGAAATGGAAGAGCCATGAGCTGGGCTTTCCTGGGATTCAGTCGAATCTGTGGAGGGCGGATTCATTCTCCCTCAACACATCACTGACCCCACCTCCCACGAAGCAAACCATCCTGCTATCCATGAAGGGTTTGCCCTCCTTGTCCTGCTAAACAAGCCAGAAAAACAATCCAGGTTTTGAAGTTGGTTTGCTTACCAGTTGGGTAGAGTTTATCCAAACAAGAATTGATTTTTTCAAACAAGGGCATGTCAGGAAACTGCTGGGGGGGGGGGGGATACATTCCAGTTTTTTCCCCTCTGTTGGGCCATGCAGGAGAAGAAGAGAGGAATGTGGGCTGAGTCCTTGAGCCCAGTCTTCCATGCAGGCCTGGTCCTGCTTGTGCAAATAATGCTAAATTACAATTTTGCTTAGTGTGCAAATTCACGCAGTGGCTTACGGTGACGTGGGCGGAAGGGTATCCTGTTGGAACAAGTTAAAGCAAGCCCAGAATGTACTTAACACCTTTACTGATACTGCTGCCCAGCCTTCCCAAAGGACTGGTGTTGATTGCTTATAGGTTTTCCTCCATCATACAGAAATGCTATTGATTTGTTTCACTCAACATTTTCTGGAGGGAAGTCCTGCTGGTCTATTGCATCAAAAACAAGAAAGCATCTTGTGATAGCTCAAAAATAAACAGAGTAAAGTCCACAGAAGCTGATACCAAAAGACTAACATTACAACCCGGTGTACATCTAATTGGAAGCAAATCCCAGTTAAGTATCTATAAAATTGCAGCCTAAATTCCTTAGTCTTTAAGGCGCAATCCTATGCAGTGGGACTTTTTCCTGCTAAACATGCATAGGATCTTACCCAAAGATGCTGCAAGATCCTTTCTTGTTTTTGCTTCTGTTTCACTCAATATGTGCACCTTGCTAACCTTCCTCGTCTTTTTCTCTGCTGCTGCCCAGTCGATTTTGGGTGTGCAGTGCGAAGTGCAGAAGCAGCTGAAGGCTTTCGTCACCCTGGAGCGCTTCGAACAGATCTATAGCTCAAGCATCGCGGGCTGCCATGAAGTCAAGGAGAACATTAACTTCGCTTCAGGCGGCTCCGTCATCGGCAAGGGGGTCAAATTTGCAATGAAAGATGGAAGAGTATCTACCGACATCATCAGTACAGCGAACGAGGATGGGCGGAGAATCGCAGCCATACTGAACAACGCTCACTACCTGGAGAATTTGCACTTCACAATCGAAGGCATGGACACCCACTATTTCGTCAAGCAGGGTCCGTCGGACAGCGACCTGTCCATCCTGGGCCTCAGCGGTGGGCGCAGAACCTTGGAAAACGGCGTCAACGTCACCGTCTCCCAAATCAACACCGTGCTCAACGGCAGGACTAGACGTTACACGGACATCCAGCTCCAGCACGGGGCACTGTGTCTGAACACCCGCTACGGGACCAGCCTGGACGAGGAGAAGACCCGTGTGCTGGAGCTGGCCAGGCAGCGTGCCGTGGCCCAGGCGTGGGCCCGGGAGCAGCAGAGACTGCGGGACGGGGAGGAGGGTGCGCGCTCCTGGACAGAAGGGGAGAAGCAGCAGCTGCTGAACACGGGGCGGGTTCAGGGTTACGATGGCTACTTTGTGATCTCAGTGGAGCAGTATCCGGAACTCTCGGACAGTGCGAACAACATCCATTTCATGAGACAGAGCGAAATGGGCAGAAGGTGACAGAGAGGGTCGACGTGTCGACTTCTTGCCAAAGACAGCTACGCTTTTGTGGCCGCCAACCAGACTGTGTTGTACTCAATCCTTTTTTTAGCAAACAAAGAACAGAAACGATAATGAACAAAGCTGGGGTGGAGTGATAAGACAGTTGCACTGTAACTCATGCAACATCCTTTATTTTATTTTTTAAAGTTTGACTTCCTCACCTGTTACCGTTACCCTCGCCCCCGGCCCCCATAGACCAGAAAGCATCTTTCGCCGTTGCGTGAGCACAGTGAAACCCTGCATCCTTTTCGTCCTCCCTTTCCCCTTTGAGCGACATTCCAAAAAAGGGGGAAATGTCCATATAAATCCATAGGTTTTTTTTATCGTGAGCAAAGGGTCTCTGTATTAGGTTCACACTCACCCTTCTTTCTTGGGTTGCAAAAGGAAAAAAAGGATTTCCAATAAGGAGCAGTGGGGGAGAGATGCTCACGACACCCTGCGGTGCGCACAGAAAACAAAAAGAAGCGTAGAAACCGAGCGAGTCAGAAGGGGACTCCCAGGCCATCTAGTCTGACCCCGGCTCCAGCCAGCTCCGCCCACGGCATGCCCGCCATGTGCATGTCCAGCCCAGCAGCTGCAGACTGTCCTAAATCTTCTTAATGTGATCCTTCTAAATAACCGTGAGCCCCTAAAGCAGAACTCGTAGGTCATTCTTACATTTCGCTCTCTTTCTGGGCAGTCCTGCAGCTCGGAAGTAGCCGAACGAGGCAAAGTAGCTGCGTCTTACAGACTTGCGAGAGGAGTTTTTCCCTTCCTGAGATGGAATAATCTTTTTTTATTTTTTTTAAATGAGTCTTTTTTACTACAATAGGCTATTTTGTTCACCAGTTCGTTTTTGTTTTTTGTTTTTGTGTGAGTGCGACAGAGTATGTATCTCTGCAGAACTGGGTTCGTTTCATTTTTTTTTTACTTCGAAGCCCCATGGAAGCTATGGGGCTGGGGTTGGGGGAAGATTCACACTCTATTAGGATAACTTTTCTTGCACATGCTGTTGGATGGAAAGCACCAATGATGTATATTTGTCAATGGTAAACCCTCCTTAAATATATAGTATTTCTGTACACCAGGTCAAGTGTCTTAACAATCATCTTTTGAGGATGGAAACTCTTCCTTTAAAAGCACAGGGGGGAGTTTTCCAACAGGAGGCTCAGTGTTAATGGTGAAACACGCTCAGTTCCTTCTGTAGATTCTGCACCTGATGACCCAAGTTTTGGTGTGGGGCACCAAGGTTTTTGGTGTTACTTTAATGCAGCTGCAGGGAACGGAATTGGAAAATGCTGGATTTGATGATAGTTGCAGCAAAGGAGAAGAGTAAGTTAACCCTTTCTCCACAGGCCTTTTTCCCAGTAGAATAGTAGAGTTGGAAGGGGCCATGAGGGCCACAAATCCTCTGCTGTTCTCCCCCAAGATAGTAGGATATCGTGTGTGTGTATTTCTCCCTGATTTGTCGAGAGAAGAGGCCGCAGGGCACTGAGCACCCGGGCCCTTACAGAAACACACCTTTGTTCAAATCAGAGTCCCGCTCCTGCTGCATTGTAGCAAAACCAAAAAATGTTGGACGACACCCCACCCATCCAAGCCAGGTCTGCATCGCCTGTTCTTCTGTGCCAGGCCATTGCTTTGTGTTCCTGTAAGGGCTTCTTTAACCCACTGCTTCAATTCCCATCGCAGGATGAATAGCAGGTCCTTTATATATGTTCTCCCCCACCCCTGCTGAGACTTTCTTTCTTTGCTTTTCTGTGCATCCTTATGCAACCACAAGCTGGCGCTGTGTTAGAGCGGAAGTACAAAATGTAAAATCCAGGGACTTCTCAGAGTGGCTTATCGGGAATAATCGCTCACTTTCCTTGCTCAAAAAACCCCTGCAGAAAGGGCTTCCTGGAGGAGGACAGTGTCCTGCGATGCTCCTGCAGACTATCGTGAACAAGGAATCATGAGTACACGCTTTCTGTGGAGAACCCCTTTCATGCTGAAGGATGCTACCCCCCTCCCCCTTACCAGGGTTAGGGGACCGCTGTTCTTTGCCTTCATGACATCCTTTCACTGGAGGTACCACCTATTTGACCTCAGGCAGTCCACGTGCAAAGTATATGTGCTAAGCGATAGAAGAGTAGATTCACACGTTCATATGCACTCTGTGAGATCTTGGGACAGAGACATTCACGCTCTGTGCGAAGAAACTCCATCTTTGGCACTTCTGTTCCAAGAAAATCCAGATCTTACTTCCAACAGCGAGGGCTTTTTTGCAACGGATAATGGAATAGAATAAAATGAAGATGGGGCAGGTGAGCTGAAGGAGCAGAGACAGGGAAAGAGTAACTGGGAAGCGCAAGAATTGGGTACAGGATGCTGATGCTTCCTCTCTTACCAGTGGAAATGCTGTTCAGGTCACCTCTCGCGTTTCAGTGTCATAATTTCACTTATTTTTCATAGACCATAAAGGACAATGTATATGTGGAAAACGTAGCTCTGGGAGATGACAGCATATTCAGCTTTTCAGACAAAATCTGTCTTAGTTTCTCGTTTAGTAAAACAAAATAAAAAAAACCAACAGACTCCCAAGGAATGAGAAGTGGGCAGAAGTGGAATAGTTCACAAGACTGCAGGTGGAAGGTTTGGACACCTGCCGAGAGATGAGGAGGGCCACGATCCTATGAATCCGCCTAGGTGCTGATGCTTGCAAACAGCAGGGGAGGAGGGTGGGCTGATGTTACTCCCCCTGTGGTCCTGTGACGATGCAGCACCATCGCGAGATTTCAGAACGGCCCCTTCCCGAAAATGGCTGGCACGCTCTTTTTTTGGGAGCGTGAATTTTGGTCTGCATGAGCCTTCAGCCTTGCCAATGGTTAGGAACGACAGGCCCAAATGATCTGTAGGGCTAGAAGTCAACTTGGCCTCCACTGTCCCGTTTTACTATGTGTATGAGTGGGAATGTGCCGTAAAAATCAGAAGAGGGCTGGGCACAAGCCTGGCCCAGCTAGCCTAGGGCTTCTTGGGGGACACCAACTGAGGGCCCCGGCATTTCAAAAGGGGCTACTGCTTTCCCCTTCTGGACCAGCTAGCATGATTCCAGAAACGTGGCTCTTCCCAGTTGTTTTCTTAGGTGCCAGAAAGGAACAGAGAAGGGGGCCATTTTAAAAGTTGGCATAACCAGCCAGGACATCTGGCTACGACCTGGATGGATCCCCTCCATCCCATTCTTCACCTTGCAAGAGCAGCAGGTGTGTGTCTCTCTCTCCTGAGTGCATCTCAGTTGCCTGATCCTGTGTTAAGGAGAGGCTAGAGAAGGAGGCTGATGCAGTCTAGCTGGGTGGGGAGGGAGAAAACCAGCTGGCAATGCATTCAGCCAAGAGTCCCCTCTTTCTGCTAGAGCGTGTGATTCTGGCATCGTATGATAGCAGGGGAGTATCTCCCTGGAAACAGTCCTCCTTTGCAGAACACCACCATCATTTTCTACCTGACTTGAACACACGTATATCTACAATGAATCTCACCGGCTGCAAAATATTCCTGCAAGGTCTCCAAAGAAGCGCGATTCCTCTTGCCTAGCAACTCTGATGGACAAGAATTCCGTGCTATTTGTGGGCGGGTTTTAAGGCACTTTTAAAAGAGCTTCGACAATCCACGTTGCTCACCAGGCTCACAAATCACAAGCTGCAATACACCCCTCCTATGGCTCGGATGTTCATCATGGCAGCCGGCCCAGCAACGAGCTGCTGGAGAACGTTCCCCACAGTGGCTTCCCGCGTGAGACCCTGCTTCGTAGGCGTATTTCCTAGCATCTCGGCGTCAAACAGGATGTGACTGGTATCTCACGGGGAGATACCATTAAGGGGAGGACAGCCAGGGCATTTCAGCATGAGCCCCTGAACACCTTAAAAGAAAAGCTAGATGGAAATGCTGCAGAAGACTTTGCTGAAACCGGTGGCTGTTGGGCGATAGGCAGGCAGCGTATTCAGCATTATGCAAAGCTGCCAGCATGGGTTATGCATCAAACGTATTCTTCAAAAATTGCTAAGGGAATCTATTCAGCCCCAGCGTGGTGTTTCCTCTTGTCCTATAGTGAGAAACACTAACCACTGTTCTATGAACGGCACACCAGCCCCTTTTTTCTGTGGACTTGGCCTTGTCCTGACTCCCCCTGTGCTACCCAGGATTCTGGGGCATGTCCCATTCCGAGCTCAGTTCATTCAGGGTTCTGGGCAGACCTGACGGGTCTTCATTCGTACCCCAAAGGAACTGACCTGGGAGCACATCCAAACACGTTCCCTGTGGTACTCCAGGGGACAGATCCAAACAGTGAGTGATGCTTCTCTTTGAGGAACCTTCAATAGGTATCTAAGGATCAAGGAGGATTCCCTGCAATTTGGTTTGAAAAATACTGTCCTACGGTAACACTTCCATCATACATACTTTGAGGGCTGTTACCTCAGCAGTGCAATCCTGTACATTCCTACTCAGAGGTAAGCGACGCTAAGTCTTGTACAACTTATTCCCGGGCTGAGTGGGTACAGGATTACCGCCAAAGAGTCTTTGCATCAGTAAACATTTGGGTGAATTTGATAATGGATCTGAAAGAAAGGTGGGGAAGTGCATTGTTCACGACTAGCTCCATGCACAGTATGTTCAGTTTGGGAATTCTTTTAGCCACAATTGTCTGTATTCCAAAATGTGCTATAAATGCCAGGTTTTTAGGACAAAGGGATTTTGCAAGTTTTTTTCCCCTTGGTTTTACTTCCAAATTAAGAAAAGTAAGAATTCCTTTGTCTCCTCCTATTTCGCTCGCTCGCTCGCTCGCTCGCTCTCTCACACACACACACACATTTACAAATCTACATTTGTACTGAGCAAGAGAAAAGAGTGGTGTCAGAGGAGGTTTAACTTCTGTAATACACTTGACCAATTTTCTATGGCAGCAAGAATTATGATTTCTGAAAATGCTATATTGTGGAATGCAT